CAAAATTTTAGATTTAGATGGATATAGAAAGGTATGGTTAATTCGCATATATTATAGTGTTTCTGTGTGTCCCTGTATGCTAACGTATGTACGCAAAACCAGTCATAACTCAAAGAAATTAGAAACGTCAGCCCGGGGCCATCATGACTTAATGACCAAAGGAAAAAGACAAAAAAGGATGACCAAGATTGCGTAAGTCTATAAGTAACCCTCGTTGAATTGATGAGCTCTATGTGTGAAAGTGAGGTTACGAAACCACCAGTCTTAACTCGTTGGTATGGGTTATTAAGGCTTAATGACCCAAGAAGCAGCTTGGCTGGGATTGCGTAGCCCCACCCTTTTGTTTTGGTTGGCGAGCTTGGAATGTCTGTTAAACGAGTATTAACTTGGTTAGAACCACCAGTCAGCTGACAAGTTGGTTAATCTTCTTTTGGACGGTGACTCAACACCTCTTTATTTCGATCTTTCAATAGGCATAAATAATTCTGACTCAACTTTATACCACAATTCCTCACATTCAACTTATTCCCTAGTCTATACATTTCACTAGCCTCTCTTATCTCGCGTTTTGTAGCAGATATACCATAATCAGCAAACCTCTGTGTACGAGAACAGTCTATCTCATGTCCAATCTCCACCCTGTGTCCCGCCACTTCTGGCCGTTATTTTTGTGCTCCGCTACTCTTTGTGAGATCGGCCGACCACGGGAACACCTAAACTTATAGTGGCCGGAACTTGATAGTGGGTCATATTTCTTTCTAGAAGAAGTTGCAACTGAAGGAAGTATCCGATTTTCTTTGAAAACTGTCTTTGCCCCCCTTCCTCACTAGTACCCCTATGTTCTTGGAAAAAAACATGATGGCAAGATAAGAACCTGAGAAAGGGTCTCGGCTTGCCTCTTTCTGACTAATTAGTCTTCGTCTGAAAATTTATTCCTCATTAACGATAGATTATTATCAATAAAGACGAAAAGAAAACTATTCTCCTGGAATAAAACTTTAAGTCTTCTTAACTCTTCGGTCAGACGATTTTAATCGGCAAGCCTTCTACTCCTAATGAACATAGATTTAAAAATTCCAACCTTAGTTTTATAACCATGGTTAGAAAGAACATTAAGAATAAAAGCAACATATGCTGATTTCTTATTGGCATCTCTGCATAGGTTACCATATTATCTAATAACCATAAACGTCTACAAAAGGTACTTTCCCATTTTTTTATAATTCCATTGTGAATGTAAGTTTTCTTTCACGCTGATTAAGTAAAGCTAGGAAACTATATTAACTGTTCTTATCATGCCACCAGATCACAAAATAATCATCCATTTATCTAAAAAACAATTTAGGAATCAGAATTACCTCTTGCATTAAGCGTTCCTCAAACTTGGCCGCTTAGTTATTCGCCAAAATCGGATCTAAGCAAGAACCCATTGCAAGTCTTTGTGTCTGCTTATAAAACTTACCGTCAAAGGGTGAAATATGTACTACTCATGGATAGTTTAAGAAGCTTTAGAATGGGGTCTATACTCAACTTAATTCCCTCCATAATGTCTGAATGCTCCTCCAGGGTAAGCATTAGAGCTTGAATGGTTCCTTGAACTGGAATATTTGTGTATGTTGATATCACGTAAAAACTTGCTAATATATCATTTTCTGGAATATTCTGCGGGTCAACTAGTGTAACAAATTCATAAGAAGTTTTTACCGAAAATAATCAAAATTCGATCACTTTTCTTAATTGATTGTATACAAAACTTGAGATTTTATGCGTAGTATTAATGCCAAACGGCTGCAGTACAAAGCAATCAGCCGACGTCTTTTTGTGAAATTGAACCATGAATCCATTCATCAGCTAGTTCCTTACGAAATGAAAGTTTTATAATCAATCTTATCTCAGGAGACTCTTTGAAACCCGCATTTTCTTTGTATATAAATTAAAGATATGCCAACATAAACATATTAAGGAATTCTTTGAAACCTACTAATAAGAACTTGGCTCGTCTGACGCTTGCTGAGGCTTTTAGGACCGAACTTTGAGTTTTATCAAAATTAAATAAGTAGGCCTCACGATAACATTCTTATTCAAGAAGTACTGGTAGTCTTGAAAACTACGTCGTCGATTGCAAGGCAAATTCATGTTAGTTTAATCGGCATTGTCATTATAAAATGTGATTTGAAGTACAATGTCACATCTACTTTGTCAGTAAGAATTCAGTCGCCCTCCGAAGCTCTAAGGACTGAATTTTCTCATAATGAGACTAATTTGCCCCCATAAGGCAGTTGCCTTGCCTCCAAGGATTGACTCAACTGCGGTTTCGATCTCAGCTCCCCCTGAGAGATTTCGTACCAGGCCGGTTGTGATTGGATCGAAAAGTATACATGCATACATTCAAGGCAAGCCATACCTATCCCAAATCACATTTATAGCGGAATAGACAATTAAGAAAACATATATTTGCCATTCTAATCGACAAGGTTACTTATTTTCAGTAAAATTAGTCTTTGAGAATATCATAACTTGCTGAACTTATAATTTTGTCGCCCTCGGTTGCTAAGGGCTGTTGGTTAAGTTTTTTCAATAAATAATAAGATGAACATACCTTCTAATGCCATTGGTTGTTCTTTATGTGGTTCGCATTACACACATATGAGGTTATGACAACGATCTGTAGCATATAGGCCCAACATGCAGACAAAATAGCATCACGGCAGGGACAGGATTTGCGCCAGGCTTTTTCATTTCTAGCATAAACTGAGGAGCCTCTTGTATAAAATGTTTGCTTTCAACTCTCAACACCTAACGCGTGCCATTTCTCATTTTCCCCTCCCCCTTGCTTGATACAGCTTTTGTGTGTGTTTTGCATGGCGGCCTCGTTCTTCGGCCTCTGTATGGCCAGCAACTATGCCCACCTGATAGAGCAGATCGTCGCGCACAACCAGGCCTCGCGAGCCCATTATGCCGAGAGGCATCCTCGTGGCCAACAGTTGTTGGCGGAACTCGAGAAGCCGGACTCATGGAACCATCATCCCGTCCTCGGGGAAGGCGACGGCGACGAATACAGTCGCCTCTCAGACAGTGATTGGGCTGCCTTTCTGGACGAACTGACCACAGCGCATGAAATGGCAACGCGTCAAGCAGAGGCCGACGACGAGGATGGCAACAGGGTCTTTATGAAGTCTCTGCTGGCTGGACGCCAGATGGACCTGGACGAAGAGGAGGCGGAAGCCGAAGATCCGGGCCTAATGAAACTGTTAGTGGGGCCTAGGACAGAGTCGACCGACTGGAGACGTGAATTGGCCCAAGACGCGTCCAGCGAAGAGGAGGCCGACGCGGCAACACTGACAGACGAGAACATCGACCAGACGGTACGCAGAGCTGAGGTGCCTTTTCAGAACCCACTCTGGGGGGAGCATCGAGTGTCCGGTGGGTCAAGTGAGCTGGGTCAGTGGATCGACTTCGCCCTCCTCGGAGCAGGAGCTCAGGATGAGGATGAGGAGGGTAAGAGGAGTCTCTCAGTCCAGTTGGGCCAGAGTTGAACTTGAATCGCTGACACTCGAAATACCCTGTTTCGAAGCGAAGGCTACACATTTCATTGTGGAACATTCAAATACTGTTCCTTACATCCTTTTTAGCGACATAGGCTTTTACAGGATCTCAATCAAGAGCAGGTGATGCTCTCGAAAATGGCAAATCTAAGTCCGCTATTTAATTGGTGGCAATTACGGCATACTGAATGATTATATTTCAAAGGTCTGATTCGATCTTGGATGAGAATATATTTGATGTTCCTAAATTTATTGTGGAAAGTCCTATGATTAATTCTTACATTACCTTAAACGACCTATGAAGCCCAAAATTCTTACGCAAGATCATCCAATGGTCTCTGAAATTAATCATTCGGTACAATGAGTGCATTTTACTGTTTATTCTATATTTTACCTTCCTTTCATTCGAGGCATAATCGGCCTCAAGGCATCGGACCTCTTTTTGCATCTGGAATCTCATATCTTCTGATCTATCCAATCGTTTTGACACATACCTCTTATGCAACAGACAGTTTCGAATATAATAAATCCAATTATTCCATTGCATTCGAGGCAAGTAATGAAATTAGCATATGATTAATTTTAAAACCATGACTATATCTTGACTGAGAACTCATTTCTTTTTCACTCCTAAAAAAATAACTTTTACTGATAACATAAAATTTACCTAAAATAGAGATGAATTAGGTGGAGATACTGGCCTTGTTTATTCTTCTGAGGCCAGGCGTTAGTTTTGCTGAGTCGAAGTTCTTATTTTCTGACATTTTCATACGTTAACATTGCTTTAGTTTAGCCAGCGAACGTAATGAATAACAGCATGGCTATAGCCCAGATTCTGATACGGAGAACTGTTAGATGTCCAGGACTATCTTATGACTACAATAGCCTTTCTTCAATGCAACCTCTTGCATTCATAAGCATATTTATTTAGTTTTCTCAGCTTTACTTTCGACTGAAAATGCTCACAAGATTAGCTAAAATTTATTGATTCCAATATAAGATTTATTTTTACATCATATTGGCAACGAATATTTACAATTGAAGATGTGATTTCCTTACTAGCAATTGGATATATATCTAGCTTAATCTCTAGTAAACTGAGGTATGATAAGATCCATTAACTGTGTTAGACATAAACGCACAAAAGTTATTGTTTATAATAATCTGCTACAATGCCGATCAATATATATATATATATATATATTCATTTATTTACGAATATCTATTAGTTTAATATAAAATAAGTAAAAATTATCTAAACAATAACTGAATTATGGAATCTGAAATATCATAGTTAGCCGTTAATTAGGATCAAGTTGCCCTCCCAGCTCTATTCGTATCAAATGAGTGTCTGAGTTCTTTGTTCCATCGACTTTAGTTATCGATACATCTTTGCAAGTAAATTGTAAATTGGTGATATGATAAATTCATTGGAAATTCTTGATACAACTGCTTCGAGTTCACTTGGGTTGCGATTCTACTTTGAGGACTGGTAGAGAGGATGCCTTAAAAATGTACTCAATACTCTGAGTAATTTTACCAGTGTTAAGGACAATGGTCTACACTGTCGATGTAGTGGATTTCCGAGATTCTTGATATACCTCTGCCGCGCATCACACAACACTTAAAAATTTACCTCACTTGAATTCGGTAGTTGACTTTGAGCCCCCTTCGTAACTACAATATTTTTCTGTGCTTAAACGGATTGCCCAATTTTCATCAACTGCAAAATTCTCCTTCGAATGACAAATCGCTATATTAGTTGATCTCTGCTCCGCTTTAAAGATATGCTATGTTTTTAATTGTATTTGATAACTTTAACTATAAATTTATGCTGGACATTTTTTTAGAGCCTCGGCTCCTTACCTGCACACTCGCATCTCTCAGCTTTCCGATACAAGCCTGCTTGATCAATGCAGATTATTCACATGTCATTCATTGAAGTGTCATTTTCGAGGGTAAGAGTATTAACATGGGATGCTGATGTTCTAAATCAAGACTTTAGAGTTAAAATTCCCACATACGCTATAGGAGATGTAAAGGCTTCTTTGAAATGGCAATTTTACCGAAGTTTTAGTTGTGTACACTTTATTTCGTTTAAGGTGATGAAGAACTGGTAGCTGAATTTTCCCACAATGACATGAGTAAGGCTGACGTTTATATTAAATTTTAAATAGCCTTGCCTTCCCAAAAGGTATTCTCATTCAGAGTGGGCTGTAGTTTCGAACTTCCCTTGGTCTTATCAACAATCCCAGCTGCAGTCGAACGATGATAGTGTAGTGTGTAATCTCGACGCGTTAACCACTACGCCACATTGCCAAGAGTGCATAGCATTATGGGAAAATTCAACTACCAGTCCTTCATTAATTCAACGCATATATCTGATTTACTGGTAGTCTCGAAAACCTACCTTTTACATATAGCTTATTAAGTGAATCCGTATAGAAAGGAAACACAACAGAAAATCATCA